ATTCCTGCTCTTGTGCTGACAGCAGGACAGGTCACATAACTCACTATGAATTCAGTATCTGCAAAATTCAGATCAGAGTTAATAGGCCAAACAATTCTACCAACAAGAGAGAAGCAATTGGGTCCCAGTGTGGGGCCACCAAAATAAGGTGGGGCTCATTTGTCTCAAGGAGACACTAAGCTTTTTACAATGAAGAAATCTCCCCTATAGCTAGAAAACTGAGACACAAGCTTGGGGGTCCGGTGCGTGGAGGATAATCTCGAAGTCTTTCTCTGGGCAGAGAAACCTGTTTTGGTATGAACAGAAACTTCCCAGCTGAGCTAATGGCTGTTTTTCTGTGACACCTATGGTTCTTGGCAAAAGAGCATTTAGAATGCTTCCTATATTCCAGAAAAAAAAAAAATCAGTGAAGTAAAGTAGTTTAGTAAATCAGACAAACTCAACAAGCGAGTCTGAGAGGAAGAGAATGGTAAAGGGAGGAGAGGATGGGACATGGATTTGCTCAGTTCATCCATCAAAGACCAGAGAAAGCAGAGGCACTCTCCTCAATTGCAGACTGTAGGACCATCTAGTGTGGGTTCTTTCCTTTCTGACCTGAGGTTCTAATCCACGCTCTCCTGTAAGCTGCTTGCCTAGTATCACCTTATTCAGTGGTATCTGCTTCCAGTGAGCCTCTAGCCTCTTCGAGGCATGAAGTGAATGTCACTTTCTATGCCCTGAGAATGAGAGGACAAACATTGGTGGCTGCAGAAGCAGCTCAAAACAGACTACCAGTACCCCCACTGAAACTTGGGTCTCTGCACCGTGTCCCTGCCAGTGAAGCAGCTGTCTTTCTACTGCCATTCTGTGCTCACCTCTGGTTTGTTGAGGAGGAGGGCAGAAAACATGAGCAGAGAAAGGGAGGCTGAGAGGTGAGCCCACCTTTCTCCCTTCAGTCAGTGTCGCAAAGCATAGGAGGCCTTGCACTTTTGGGTCACCTCATAAAACCACGCAGTCACCCAGTGCAAATCAACCAGTTCTCAGAGCATTTAGAGTGGGTAACTAAGCAGTAGTTAGGACTATAGCTACTGCGTGCTCTGTGCAGGAGTCATGCCAAGCCTATTGCTCCTCTAGCAGCTCTGCGCTGCACCAACAATCCTGGGCTGTCTCCAGGAAGGCTCGCAGAGCCACCTTCTGCCTGAAAGAGCTGCTGTGATCATCCTGGGTGGGCAGAGCACTCCTGTCTGGCTGCTCTACCAGCAGGGAGGATGAGAAGTGGAGCTGGGCTGTGCAGTGGTGCTCGGCCCCTCAGAGGCCACCGGGGCCCTTCATGGAGTCGAGGAAGATGAAAGCACCCTTTGAAACAAGAGCAGGAGAGATATTGGACCCCAAAGAGCCTCCTGGAGATGGTGAGAGGTAGGAATGGGTGAGGGCTTGGGGAGGGCCATTTGAGGCAGGGTGTGGGGAGGAGGAGGCCACGAGCAAGAGCCGGTTTCGTGGGAGAGGTAGGGTAGCGGCAAGAGGAGCAAGGAGGTTGAATGATTTGGGAACAGAGTATGCATAAAATATGGAGGGGAATGAGGCCACAGAAGGTGCTGGTGGAGAGCCAGGAGAGAACAGAGCACATGAAAAGCATAGTGGGAGTTGAATGAGGCCTTTATTGATGAGCTGTGGTCATGTCATGCTGGAGGAGCTGCTCTAAAGCTGCGTGGAATCTCCCAGAACAGTGCTGGGGGCTGGGTGCTGGCCCCTCTCTAGCTTGGGACGCTGGGCAAGGGGTGCTCTGGGGTGGGAGACAAGTGTATGTGGACCCAGGCTGTGCTCACTCTGGGACCTCGGGAGCCCGGCAAATACCCGGGCAGAGTTGAGAGTAGGGCTTGAAAAAAAATCACAGCCTCATCTGTTTTAAGGCGGGAAGAGGTGGCCTTGAACATTTAGTCTGACCTGTTACAATACAGGCCATGGCAGAGTCCAGTGAGATGTGGCTGAGCTTTGCCTGTCTTTTAGAGAGGCAGACAGTATATTTGGAAGTCTTCCCTGGTTAGTTTTTCTAATAGACGATTACCCTTAGGGTTCAAAATCTGCTTTATTTCTAGACTAAATTTTTGAGTTTCATCTTCTGTTCTCTGAGCCTGCTTATGCTTTCACCTTCCCAGTTAAGCCATGCTGTCAGATATTTTCTCCTTGCTTCAGTATTTATGTCCACTGTGATCAAGTTGCCTAATTTCCTTCAATAAACTTAATAGACTGAGACTTGTTTCCATGTCTTCCCAATTGCTTCCCCAGCTGGAGGAGGGAGGGTGAGTGCCTGGCTCCTGGCCTTCCTCCAGCAAGCTGTTCCCACCCACCTTCTTTCCACAGTCATGTTTCAGTTGCGGTGCTGCGAAGGTGACTGAGACCTGTTGCTTCTCCTCTCTCAGGTCCCGGTGCTGTCAGAGGAGAACCCACTCCTGTTACTTTCCTTGCTAAAAAGAAGCAACGAGGTGCCTTTGCATGCCGAGGCCAGCTCTTGGCTCCTGGTTATGCACCGGTGTGTACTGGCTGTGACAAAGCTGCCTCAGGAAGCTGCATTTCTAAAAAGTCCCATGGAAAGAGCGTGCAAAGGCAGAAATGGCAGGTGTAAATTTTTTTCTTGTAGCCTGCAAAGGTATATCTCTGGTTGATCCTCAGGTGAGGTGAGAAGTGAGAGCCATTCTCAGAACAGTGCACCGGGCTCCCTCCAGGCTGTGCCTAGCCAAGGAATAGAGCAATAATCCCTGGTCAGTCTCCACAGATGGGTAAAGCAAGGTGCAGTGGTGTGCCCGGGGGTACACAGCAAACCTGTGGCAGAATCAGGGTTAGAAACAAGAAACCTCAAGTGCCTGATTCAAACATGGCTTTTGTATACCTGGTGAGCGTTTTCTATCTTCAACTTGAAGATGGTTATTCAATGTAGAAAGTCTTGTGTCCTCTTTGCCCTTTGTTCTGCTCTGTTCATACATTGCTGAGGGAGAGCCACGAACCTGTCCGAGTGTCTGTGGTCAACATCATGTTTAGCTCAGTGAGCTGATGTGGGGTGTCTGCCCAGGGTCTTGCTGGGATTCTGAATGGGTGTAAGTATCTACCCTGTTCAGGGCAAATGGCAAGCCTCATTACAAAGTAAAAGAAGTGCACAAGGAAAAAATGAATTCCAGGTCTTTCCAGTTTCAGGAATCTCTGGTTTTGCTTTTAATCATAGATAAAACATTTATAGGCTTTCTTGGTGGATTATAGGCTTTGTTGGTGGAGATGCCTACTAGAGTGCGGTTTGTTGTTCGTGGGGGGATATTGGGGCAGATACAGCATACGCAGCGGTGGAAAAAAAATGTAGAAAATAAAAGCTGAAAAAAAGCCAAACCCAGCAGCTTTCCATTTAAGAGCCTGCCTGCCAGCCAGGAGCCTCTTAAAGGAACTCTGGCTGGCTCTTTTATTAAGTGTGACAAAGTGATGGGAGGTGGGGGGGGAGCTCCTATGCTAATAAGTTGGAAAGGCACTGCCGTTGCTCTCGCCAACGTGTCTCAGGGAAAGTGGAATTAATTCATGGCATATGCTCCCAGCATCTGCCGCGGTGACCCGGAGTGGCGGGGCGCAGCGCCAGGCAGCGCAGCCGGAGCCCGTGCTCCCCACTCCCTCCCGAGCGATGGCCCGGCCGCCCGCTGGCCTGCTGGCCTCCGAGGGGTGGCACAGCCCACGGCCAGAGTCTTTCTTGCTCTGAAGAAGGAGAAAGGCGGTAGAGTTGGGAGGGAGAAGGGGATGTTTGAGTAGAAAAGAGACCAATTTGAATGGAAATGAATCCAGTTTTTTCCAGGCAGCCTCAATTCCTCCTACAGCATTCCCTGATGAAGTCCTCCCTTCTCCAGCCGTCTGATGTGTTGTGAGGCTCTTGTTTCCCACTGCATCTCTACAGATGATGTGATGCTCTCCTGAACAGAGAGGAC